TTCTCAAACTCTCTCGAGTAGAGGACCTCCTTGCTGGCGAGATCCACCCCAAATTACCTTACAGCCAATGCAATCAAAATTGTAATTTTACTTAAAATCGAAAACTAAGGTAAAATCAAAATCATAGATTAAAATCGTAAAATCGTAAGATTTTGAGGTTCATGTTAAAATAATTACTTAAAACACCATATAGTAATAACTAATAACAATGCATATCCTGAATAACAGTCAACCCCATATAACATAATTACTTCCCAAAATAACTTTATCTGTTAAATAAACACAACTAATCCATAGATTTATTCTTCTACATAACATAAACACACAAATAAGCAACCTGAAATCTCATAGAAATCACTTAATTTAGTTAATATTTAAGAGTACAAAATCACATAAGCAACATTAACATCCCTCAGACATCATGATCCTTACCCTCGCTCATCCTTGTAGAATATTTGTCTATTTGCTTGAGGAATGATATCATTATTTTTAGGATCACTTGACATACTTTCACCATTACTCATATTTTCTTGATCGCCATCATCTGGTAAAGATAACTCATTGATTTATGCATTCCCGGCCTAATCGATAAAAGGTCGGGGATAGTGGTGCTGAATGATTGAGAGATTAACAAAAGCTTGCAGATGGAATGGAGATTGGGATAATTGTGAGGGTGGTGGGAACAAACTACGAGCTAATTTTGTGGGTGCAAGAAATCGTTGATGGAAGGATTTGGGTGTTCGGCGTGTGGAAGGGGAAGATATGAGGAAGAGAACAAAAATAAATTGAGAGCCGTCTATCAGGTTAGAATTGTGTTGTTCATTATGTGGGTTGGGGGAAGTAGACTTGACCCGGTTCATGGGAATAACCCAACCTGACCGCCCTAACTTTGCTCCACTTGACATGAACCTTGAAGTCATACAAAAATCATAAAAATCATATATTTTAAGGATTTTAGAGTTTTAAATCAGAATTTTATAGGATTTTAAGGTTCAAAGATTTTGTAGTAAAATCATGATCGGAGCCCATTGGTAAGATCGTAAAATCGTAAGATTCTAAGATTAAAATCGGGATTTTGAGTACATTTCTCTGAAGAAACACAAAGCAATAAACTCAATTGAGTTCCAATCTTCTCATGACATTAAACGAATGAACTAGTACATATTTATAGGCATAAAAGCCTCTACCTTTTCCTATCTAGAACATGACTCCTATTCCTACAAGGAATTAACCAACAATAACCAAATCCTACTTAGACAAGAAAACTATTAATAAAGACAATAATAATAAGACTACTAATACAATAAGAATAACTAGGCCCAGATAATTAGCCCAATTGCTATGATGACCCAATTCTTGTAACAATCCTCCCCCCTTAGCACAACCTTGCCCTCAATATTGGTCTTCATCGTGGATGAATTGACATTCCTCGTCCTCGGTGCATGGCTCAATTATGAGTAGCACGTTCTTATTGGCACAACGATGGCCAATCGTGAATCGGTCTTCGCAGTGGAAATAGAGCCCTTAAGCTTGACGATGTGATACTTCCTCCGGTGAAATTCTCCGTGCATTAGGGACACGTGGGGGTGGTGCTCGAGATTATGTCGGTGCCACCTCGGTCATCGTCTCCTCCGACGCTCGTGGCAGATTTCGTGGCATCCCACGATGCTTCCCCAACTCCTCGTTCTTCACCCTGGCGGGTCAGATCGCCTCTCTCACGGTCTCCGGTTTGAACATGCGGATTGAGTCGGAGATTTTTTGATTTGAGCCCACCAATGAATGAGCCCACTAACACTTCCTCGGTCAAGCCATAACATTGATTGTCCAATCTCTCAAAAGCTAAGAGATAATCGCTTAAGGACCTTGTTTGCTTGATCTTAGCGAGAGCTTCATGACTCGAAGTGCTCTCCGCCGGACCAAACCTAGCCCATAACTCTTGGCGGAATCGGACCCAATTCATCGCCATCCCAGTTATAATGTATGTGTGCTCCATCCATTGCCATTGCCACCACTGGTTGGCATCTTCCTCCAAATGATAAGATGCGAGTAGCACCTTATGCTCCTCTAGCGTCTCCTGGAATTTCAAAAATTGTTCCACCCGCGCGAACCAACCGGACGAGTCCTCGCCTCCATTTTACTTCGGAAATTCCAATTGAGCTAGTTTCTGACGAAATGGCCCAAATTGATCGTCGGTCCGACCATAACTGAACCTGTGTGGCGGTGAAGGTTCACCAGGCCCGCTCTTCCTCTCGACCTGGTGGCCACGGCCCACTCCCGCCCAAGCCAGCCCCACTGTCCGGCCTGCCCGGCCATCCTGGCCCGCCTGGGCCTCCTGCCTTATCTGGCCCACACGGCCAATCCATCTCGCTTGAGCCTCCCGATCCGCCTGGTCCTCCTGGCCCACCTGTCGCAATCGGTCCAGCTCCGTGGCCCCATCTTCCGTTCAACCCACTCGCTCCATCGACGAAGCCCGTGCACGGAGCCTAGACAACCCCGCCCGCTCCTTGAACTGCAATTGGGTTGGTGGTGGACCACGGTCCTGGTGCGGCCCTGCCCAATCCCATCATTCTTCAATTTCTTTTATGTTTCTTCTTCTCTCATTTATGGAGTAGTCCTATAAGTTACTAGGGGTTCTAAACCCCAAACCCTAGTTTTAGGGTTTATTATGTATGTATGAATATTTTAGGGTTTGAATGAATGAATAGGTTTATCTAGTTGATTATATTGCTATTCTATCCTTGATTGTGTTTGGGTAAGTCACCCTAATCTTCTTTATTAGCCTACTTTATGCTTCTACGCTGGGTATGGAGTTCTAGGGTTAGACGGGTATGCGCCATCAAGCAAATCGAGATAAATGTATGAATAGGGACCTATGATGGTCGAGGTGACCGAACCCCTACCGTAGGTTAGCCTTCCTAGATAGAATCCGTGATGTGGATAGTGGATAGTGTCCATTGAAATGAGCCATGAGCTTAGTGCCCCAAATATGATAGCCTAGATCGAGGTGACTATATATGGGTTTAAAGGAGGTGTACTCGGAGGTGTGTGGATAACCAAGAAAGCCCACGGAAAAGAGCTCACTCACCACGTTCGATAACTCTAAGTATTTATGCATGCATAGTAACCCTACGCTAGGAGGAGGATTAGTTCCCCGAAGTACCTACTTTTAGCTTTGATCAATCTCTAGTCTAGTTATCTCCTCAAGTCCTCCACTCAAACCTCCAAAATCAATTAACCAATTAGCAACAAGGTGGGAAGTAGGCTAGGGTACCGGGACCCAAGTAAAATACGACATTGATCACCACTATACGACAATGCCATCTAAAGTTGAACTTGGCTTAGGATGGGGCAGTTGTTTACACGTGCTAACCATTGACAATAATATGCACGGATTGAACCGATTAGTAACGCTTAGCGGCGGCTACCACCATCATAGGGCTGTTGTGGGTTTTCTTGTAGGTTTTTGTTGAAATTTCTCCAGTGGACTCCTCATGGGCTTCTGTGAAACTTCTTGAAGGCTTTCCCTTGATTTGGCTCAAATTAATGGACGAGACACCCTGATCTTGATAGTAATTGTCCCTCTTGATCCTCCAATTTGATCCATTCATTGATCCAAGTAATCCTAGAATGTGTTTGACCTTGAAAACACAAAAGAATACAAAAAGGCATAAAATGATACAAAACACATCCTAAGTCTATTAAAAGCAAATTGGGCATGTAGTCATGATTTCTACCTATAACATGACATAATGTAATAAAGATGCATTGATAGAAGGTCAAAATGTATAAAATATAGGAGTGCTGAATACTATTATTCAATTGTAATCAAACCTAACATCTTGTGATGAACACCTTTAAATCGTGACAAATTTGTCAGATTACTATGACAAAATGTTTTTTCATATTAGTTTGTAGTTTCTAATAAACTTGGTTTGTCACCTTCTCGGTTACGATTTAATGACATCAGTCCAAATTTTTTTCATGTTAGACCTACGACGATGTTGCTATTACGACGAACATTGTGGCAAACATATGTTGTCAAATTATATGTAAAATGACAACTTTATGATGTATTATGACAAAATTGTTGTGTCATAATAGCTCCAATTTGTTGTTATGCGCCATTAGTTCACACCCTCTTCAATCTCAACTAGGGTTTGTAGTACTACATAATAGGAGGTTTTGTATTATAACCTAACATGGAATATATGTATGTTGGTCATAAGAAGTATAACTTTTTACAACTAATAGTTTTCAGTGTAAAAACACTATAAAAAAAGCACGCACTTTATATAACATGAGAGTGGACCTGGTCAGTAATCTGATTGGTTACCAATCATGCATAACTTTTTACCAATTTAATTTCATAGGCTATATTAATTTCATTTGCATTATAAAATCATAATAATCAGGCTCTTCAAAATTAAATTCACTTTAAAATATTTTGGAATAAAAGACCAATACATATATCATCACTCTTTACCATGGTGGCATAACTTGACAATATATAAGATTATATCATGGTGGTATGAAAGTGTACTATGATGGTATGAGTATACTAATCACATTTCATGATCACAATATACCAAAGTGGTATATTTGGTCCTGAAATCCCCCCTCCCCCACATAAATTCATACATCATAATGAACATGTTCCTTTTGTGAAATTTTTTTTAGTTTTTTGCGTTAAAACGAAGGTGGATAGGAGTGGTACCAGTGTGGTAATCAGTGATAATTGGTGGTGGTACAAAACCAAGTTCAGTGCTCTATGTTGGTGCATGCTCACAATAGTGGGATTCCCCCAGTTGGAAGGCCACTAGAATTTATGTTTATCCTAAATAGTTTTTCTTTGATAACATAAAGTTACAAGGAATAGACAGACTGTGGACCAATAAGTGTTATATATACATATTCTTCTGGCATTCTTTTTGGGCGGTGTTGAATGTCATTCCTGCCACCTTACACATTACATGCACTACTGTCTATATAAGATAAATATTCTCAGTTCGATCTCCTCCAAGACATAGTTGTATAAGATAATGGAGAGGAATAGGAGAAGCTGGTCTTGGCCTTGGCCTTTGTTTTCTGTCTTTCTCATAGCACCACTCCTTTTCAGCGTCCTCCCCACAACTTCAGTTGAGGCAAGAAAGCACCACCACAGCTACAAGAAAACCCATAACAGGCCTCACAGTAACAAACACTCCAACCACAGAAAAGGAAGTGACAGTGGAGGCTTCAATCCGCCTGCAGACTCAACAACGGATTCCACCACTTACAACGTTGTGTCCTTTGGTGCTAGAGGTGATGGTGTTACTGATGATTCCCAGGTACGTGTAATTAATGAATTTGAATGCGACAGAACATGGCTTCTACGGTGTACTCACAAAAATTCGCGTCGTCCTATATGTATTTCCCCCAAAAAGCAGTCGCTTGTGGGTGCATGGAAAGCTGCTTGCCAGCTCCCTGGGGCTACAGTGAAGATCCCATCAGGGTTCAGGTTTCTGATGAGTCCCGTAAATCTGCAAGGTCCGTGCAATGGTCAGCTCACTCTTCAAATAGATGGAACTCTGCTTGCTCCTTCGAGAGTTGGGGATTGGCCGAAATCAAGCCTGTTCCAATGGCTCAACTTCAAATGGGTCCAGAATTTCACCATTCAAGGCAGTGGAACGGTTGACGGACAAGGCTCCCAGTGGTGGACTCCTTCCTCGCTCTACTACGTTCAGGTCTCAGCTTCTCATCTCGCTTAAAACACCTACTTGTTGAGCACACTTCTACTGTGCTATATAGCATTGGTGCTTTAATGTACAACTTAAAGTTATACCATAACATTAAATGTATAAGTTTAGGTTGTACCATAAAGCAATTTGTATCGTTATGTTATGGTACAACTTTACAACTTGAAGTTGTACCATCACATAAAAGTAAAAGTTCAAGTTGTACTATAAAATAATTTGTACCAAAAAGTATAGGTACAATCTGAAGTTGTACCATAAAGACAAAAATCTATAGCACCAATACTATACAGCGTTGTAAAATTTCTCCTACTTGTTGGTCAAATTTTCATAACTTAAACAACTTTAATTTGTTTCGTCTGTCTGTCGTTGATTTCCACAGAAGATGTCCAAATATATTCCAGACGTGAAACCAACGGTAAGGGGGATTTTTCTGGGCCTCAACAGATTAGACATATGGTGCAGTACCGAAGCAACGTTAACTAAAATTGCACCAATTTTTGTGTTCCTTCTTTGGTATGTATATATAGGCTTTGAGATTCTATTCCAGCCATGGCGTGACGGTGCGCGACATCAGGATCGTGAACAGCCCTCAGTGCCATCTGAAATTCGATTACTCTGGTGGGATCAAAGTTGACAACATCACTATCTCTTCCCCAGAAAACAGCCCAAACACCGATGGGATTCACCTTCAGAGCACACGAGATGTGGAAATTCACCATTCCAACATTGGATGTGGTAAGTCGCTCGTCATGATGTAATTGGTGGCACTAAGCCGATTCCTGCATTCGGTTAGGCCGTAGATGGTGGTGGGCTGCACGTTGGCAACTTCCAGACCTAACAGAAAATAAAAGAAAAAGAACAAATATGTGTTGGTTGGTTCATATATATATAACTGTCACTAATAAACTAACTTTTGAGACAAGCATGCATGAACAAAAAGCAACACCAAAAAGAAACATTTGCTTTTTTATTCTATTTATTTGTCCTAGCTTACATAAAGTTGAAGTCTAACAGGTTACTTAGCATTTTTGAAGTCTAGTTTGAGATTCCTCCTTCACTTTTGTGAATGTTTACAGGCGATGACTGTGTTTCCATTCAAAGTGGCTGCTCCAATGTCCACCTTCACCACATCAATTGCAGCCCAGGGCATGGGATAAGGTAAACCAAACCCTATAAAGCTATATACTATTCCATGCCTGTAACTAGGGATGGCAATTTACCCACCCATGGGTAATTTTGCCCAAACCCAAGTAGACCCATTTATTATGGGTAGGGTTTGGGTGATGTGTGTATGGGTTTGGGGTTTGTATATGGGTTTGGGTTAGATATGGATATTATCTAAATGGGTATGGGTTGGATATGGATATCCATTTACTTGAGGGTGTTTTAACTACACATGCAAAAATTGGACCTATTTGTAAAACTTGAAAAGTTTAGGTACCAAATTGTAAGACCAAAAAAATTTAGGTATCCAAACGTAATTTTCCATCGATATTTTGAGGACTTATATGCAAAAAAAATTAAATTTAGGTACTGAATATGCATATCTATTAAGTTTAGGTACCAAAACTGTAATTTGTATTTGGGCATGGGTACAAACCCAAATCCATTTGTTATAAACCCAACCCAACCCAAAGTAAATGGGTATGGGTACAAACCCATCAAACTTTACCCATATCCATATATTTGGATTTCATACCCAACCCAATTGAGTTGGATAGTAAAATACCCATGGGTATGGGCATAATTGCCATCCCCACCTGTAACTAGCTAAAAACATAAATTTATATATATTTTTCACTTGTACCCAATGCCGTCAAAATCACGCTTTAAATTTTTTAGGTCATCGAAACGCTTCTATACGTAGAATCGTGATTTTCCCCTTACAAATGTAGTCAAAATCTACGCTTTAAAACCTTAAAAACTTACGGTTTTACGCTTCTAGGGCCACCCAATCTGCTTCTAGGCAGAATCGCGCGCTTTTGACTGCATTGCTTGTACCTACAAATATATATATTGGTGGAATATCTGGGTTTGACGGAGTTCAGCTTTCGTAGTGTTGGGAGTCTAGGGAAGGACAAAACCGCGGCTTGCGTCTCCAACATCGTTGTTGATAATATCTCACTCCGTAACACTCTTGCCGGTGTCAGGATCAAGACATGGCAGGTAACATCCCATTCACATTAATTTTTTCCCTTCAAATTTATGAATGCATTCCCCGTCTTTTTAATCGTCATTTTAAACAAGTGCCGCGATTCGTATTAAAAAATGATGATGACAATCATGAATACATATGTTAACAGGGTGGTGTTGGGTCGGTGAAAAATGTGAGCTTCACAAACATTCAGGTGTCGGATGTGAAGTACCCAATAATCATCGACCAGTTTTACTGCGACAAGCATCGCTGCGAGAACCAGACGGCAGCAGTGGCGATATCGGGCGTGAAATACGACCAGATCTACGGGACGTACACAGCGCAGCCAATCCGTCTAGCCTGCAGCACAACGGTGCCGTGCGTGGATGTTGATGTTGCCGATATCCAGCTGAAGCCATCCATCGCAGGAATTCCATCATCGGCTAGTCTGTGTTGGAACTCGTATGGGAAATCCCAAGCTCCTCTGCTGCCTTCCAGCATTGACGGCTGCTTGAGACGGGACACTGCGTATGTGAAAAGAGTTGCGAGGTCACATGAACATGTCTGTTAATATAGGTCATGTAATAATAACTAAGACGCCTTCATTTCGTTTTTTTTTAACAGTGAGCAGGCTCAAGTTGTTTGTAATAACCTCTTTCTTTTTTGGGGGGTTTTTTTTTTTTTGTGAAATATAACAAAGCTTTTTTTTCTTCTTCTTCCCATACGGATGTGCATTTTTCGTTAATACTTACTGAATCTTGAGTAAATAATTTAGTTAGAAGTAAAATAGTTTATTAAAATTTTCAGAAAAGGTATATACATAAATTTTTTACGTAGTATCTTGATCATTAATTACCAATAACACAAGTCATCCATCTGTTTAATTAATACACAATAAATAATTATCTGTTCAAAAAAAAATTGCACAGAATGAATGAGTTCATCGTACGTGATCTAGAAGCGAATGTTTAGAACAAAAAAAAAGAATACCACCATTGTGTGAGGGTTGTATGTTTGTATGAGTGATCGTATGATGAATAAAGCCTACCATTTATAAAAAAATAAATTTCTCCAAAATAGAGACATTATACATGATCTAATATTTTCTTACAATTTACAAAAACAAATCACGTTGCATAAAATTTTGACTCTTCAACTATTATAAATCACTGGTTGTGGCCTTGTAGGCGGTGGTATTTGATTTAGATAAAATTATTAAAGGGTTCATAGCGCCTGCGCCGCCCAAAGTTTCTCATCTCGTAATTTCGTTCCACTCATATGATTGTTGTTTATTTCAGGGCGAGGATGGAGAGGAGACAAACAAATTGGATTCGTTAAAAGATAAAACTGTTGAGCGTGGGGCGGTACCGAAAGACTAGAGGATTAATTATTCAGCCTGATCGTGTATTCTTTTTTGTTCCACTCTGTCACCCTCACCCACACCACACACGACTAGGGTTAGGCAATGGGTTGGTTAATACAATATCATATTGGACCGAATCGATATTGGGATCGGGCCATACCGAATCAAATATAATTAGAGATGGCAATGGGTCGGGTCGGGTCGTGGACGGATAGTGCATGTCTGTTACCTATCCAAAATAGTTCGGGTTTTACCCATACCCACATGTGGAACCGGTAGAAAATTAAAACCACTCCCATACCCGTTCGGGTTTCGGGTATCCACGGTTATCCATGAGTAATGATTTCTCTTAATAACTCTAACCAATATGTTAACTTTCACACGTATTCTCACATTACGTAAGAAGAAAAGTATGACAATAATTCACTAGAATGAAGAAAATTAATTAAAACAACACAATTTCATGAAAATATTGTATTTATATGCTAAATATAAAATATGTTAGAGAAAAGTAATGATTATTTCTAGACAAAATACGTATGTATGTGTATAATCGGGCGGGTTCGGGTTGGATAGTGAGAAACTCATGCCCACCCATTACCTGCAATATTCGGGTTCGGGTTTTACCCGTACCCACTAAATGTCCTTCGGGTTCGGGTTTTACCCTACCCGATTAGGTCGGGTTCGGGCATATATCCACGGTTACAGATATTTTTGTCATCCCTAAATATAATATGGTCTGATACTTGGTCCAATGAATTTTATAAATACTAAAAAAAAATGGACCAAATTGATATTTGTACCGGACCAAAGTTGACCATAACAAACCGAATGCACTATTGATCCGGTCCTTGATCCTGAGATATCTTGTACTTTTGGACTACAGTTCTTCTAAGGTTGGTCCGATTTGCCCCGGACCAGACCGATGCCCACCCAACTTTCCGAGGACCAATTCCCGAGCAGTAGAGTAAATGGATGACTATTATTATTATATTGGATTTTATGTTGCTGCTAGTAAATATAATGTCTAGACTATTTATTGTAACGTGATGCTATTTAAATTCAGTTTAATAGTATTTATTCTCTTATATTATTGCAAATTTGAGTCAAGAGATCAAAACGAACCTTACAAACTTCTCATATAGTCAAATGCAAAGCAGTCAAAATCGGTATTTTACGTAAAATTGAAAATTGGGGTAAAATCGAAATCGTAAAATCGAATTGTAAGATCGTAGGATTTTAAGTTCCATATAGAAACTAACATATAATCATATTAATAAGATAAACCATTACTAACACAAAGACACATAACATTTAAAAAGATAATTCCCAAGATTAATGTTCTAAGATCATCATTTTAATTGTTATTTAATGCATAACTCAAATAATTCACGGGGAAATGATAGAGCTCATGGGGCTTGACTCTTGTTTTTCATGTTGTGTCTAGGTAGTTTAACTCAAAGTAGTACTCCGGTCCGGTTAATTTCAACTTTGTCTGCTAATCATGATTTAAAACTAAGAATATATGAACTCCAATCGAATAATTAATGCTAGTGGCTTGGTAAAAATATATTCATTAATCAATTAATTAGTTAATAATTATATTAATTCTTCCGCACGTACAATATCAATGCATCAATAGATATCAGAGTTCGGTTTTGATATGGTAAGCGTGGAAGGACTCTCCAAGAAGGAAAAAACAGAGCAAGCAGTACAAGAGACGAGATATGCCCTCTTCCTCATTCACATCATGATGGTTATGACTGATAGCGTGATCGCTACCACCAAGGGAATGAGTCCTACCTACGATAGGATCATTGCTACATGTGAAAAACTTGTGCCAGCAATAGCAACACCACCACCGAGCATCATCGTCGCTACTTTCAACAATGAGTAAAATGAAGCTCGTCGCTTTCTTTGTGTTTTCCAGGCCCGTTTGTAACACTCTTCTTTTGTTTTGCGCTTTGTAACAAGAGTGGTTCGCTCCACTTAGTTGCTTTCTCTGATTTTGTTTTGTTGTTTGCTGGTTTTGGTTCAGCCCTTCTGAGCCATTACCGCGTTGAACCTCTGTTCTCCGTTTATTTTAATGCAAGTGATCACCATTAGATAAAAGGTATTGTTTTCTATTAAATTGAACCTCGAGTTTAGGTTTAGAGAATCGGGGCCTGTGATTTATCCGTTAGAGCTTATGGTATAGTACCATACCCCAAAACTTGGTTTAACTCATGGTTAGAAGTACTTGAAATATAGTATACTCCAGGAGTACATCGATCTGACTTAGGGGCGGAGCTATGTGAGGGCTGGGGGGTTCATTTATGTAGATGACAATTGCATATTTGTAAGTTTGCATCCTATGCAATTATGAGTTGCATGCCACATTGTATTTTTATTACTAAATTTTTTATTTTTTATACTATTTAAGAAATTTATGATTTATTATTGTATTAAAAATCAATTGCAATTGCAAGTATATTGCATTGATGTGGGTGTAATGAAAATAACTTGAAATGAATTGTATCAATTATCAACTACAAGGTGACAATAGGAAACACATATGCAATAGATCTAGCAATTGTATTGACATGGATGGACTTGCCAAGACGACTTGATATGCTAAGATCATAGACGGTTAGCAGCATACTAACCACTCTAATCATCGTTTCTTACATTTACGTTGAATATGAAGGTGGAGAGTTACGAGGAGGTTTTTTAATATTTCAGAAAATTAAATTTAGTAAGAAAATTTATTTGTAAATATATCTCTCCTCACTCTGATAGAAAATTCCGACATGCGAAAACTAATACCGAGAAATTACTACTACTTAAATTACCGGCGATTTAACAATCATGTTGTACTGATGATGACAATAGTGGTTTTATTGTTATAAGTGATTTTGATTTCTTGTAGTAATTGTATTGCTATTAATATTGATTCCGATCGAAGAAATTTAGTAAGAATCCGTAGTGAAATGATAAATTATTACATCAAATGCAAAAACTGGTCATACAATCAGCAAAACGCTATTAGTGGTTGGATTTAGTGGGTTGTATATTTGACCAAAACAACTCTCCTTTTGTTTCAATTAACTCTTAGATTATATTCTCAATCTAATAACTAAAATAATAAACCCTTGTAGAGTTGGTACCTAATCTAATTCGTCTCTTAGGGGTCGTTTGGATGTGGAAATATTATGCAGTATTTGGACTCAATTACTGCATTATGTGGTAATTGGATTAAAAACCCACGTTTGTGAGAGCAAAAAGGATATGGAAATTGGACCATGGAAATTGGCTTCAATTACCACATTCATGGTAATTGAGAATACTACACCTCCCCTTAGTAATTCGACATTACCACGTTTTCATTTTCTTTGTTCCAAATGTGCCCCTTTGTCCTTCCTCTCCTTTCTTCCTTATTCCTTCCCCGATTTCTTGGAATGCGTTAGCTTGGTTACTCTTTTTTGAGTAATCATGGTGGCTACTTAGATATTGGCCATTAAGATTAAGTGAATCCAATCTAAGGGCCCATTTTAGTAAAGGTTAAATTCGGGAGGAACCCACACGATCCATTCTCTCACTAGCGTAATTATGGGAGCGAAATCAATGAGATCTTAATTCCTTATTTCATTCTTCCCCTTTTTTTCATTTTTGCTCCACAACGCCGCTCCCAAGAAGCTCTCATCGGTGATCAGCGCTTCCTGTTTTGTTTTCGTCATCTCCAGTCTTCATTCGGCGATCCGACGACATTTGTTTTCTCTCCAGCGCGTCGATCTTCCAACCACAGTTCAATCGACTAACCAGCGATGATTTCTTTCTCGTTGTCGCACCGGCGAGGGTTTTGGCATCTCCCTCTCGTTTCCCAGGATTTTCCCACTCCCACATTCCACGGCGCACCAGTGAGGTTGTCTATCATTCACTCGAGTTTGTCTCCCTTTCGTTTCCCAGGGTTTTTGTATTGTCGCCACACCGCAAGTTCTCTCCCCGGCGCAGCGGGAGACGTTTCGGCAACTGGTTGTTTCGTTGTTGTGGGATCGGCGAGAGTTCTTCAAATCGTGTTGTAAACGTGTTGTAATAGCGCGCTTTATTGTATAGACATTGCATGTTCTTCAAATCGTATTAATCTGAGTTTTGTTTTCTGTGGAATGGTATTCTTGTTGTTTTTGTATCTGTGCGATTGTGATAGTTTGTTTGACATGGATTGGTATATGGTCGTTTGGTATTGAATACTATAAGGTTTTTTGCAAAGGTAGTGGTCAATTTTGGTAGTGATCTAGGTTCTAGGTTGTTTTGAATGGTAGGTTCCTCCCATGCATTGGGAGTAATCTGCATACCTGTGAAGTTTGGTG